TTTTTTTTTATATATATATATATGTCCTGTACCTTGTTTTGATAATTGTTCCTCTTATTAAATGGAAATATTTTAATTCACTTTGTCACTCTCTCTCTAACTCAGCATATCTCTGTGTATCCATGGTCTAATGAAGAGCGTAGCTGTAAAACAAAGAACTACTTTAGCATTTTTCAGTTAGACATGTTACCTGTAATTTGGGGAGGTGGGTGGGAAAGGTGTTTTGTCTTAAATGGTTATCATGAATTGGAGACTGACACAGTTACCACTTTTATTCCCAGACTCTTGAAATGCCTGAAGACTTTTGGCGAAGTGCACTGAGCCAAGGTGACAGACTTTATATTTAAAGAATCAAACCTTAAATTAAAATGGAATTGGAGAATTAGCAACGCACAACTGCCCTCTCTCTTCTCTCTCTCTCTCTCTCTCTCTGTCTCCAACGTTAGATGCAGCAGGCAGCAGGTAGGAAATAAAGCTGCCTGTCTTCTCCCCTTCTTTCCAACACCACTAGAGTGCGACAGTCTAGTCTCTCCTAGGATACAGCAACCATGAGAACAAGTGTAGAGTATAAAAACAAACTGCAGCAAGCCATGAAGCAGAAGGAGACCCTTCCATGATTGCACTGGGCACTTCGAACGGAGAGAGAAATTGGAAGATTTTTTTTTTTTAAGGACTAAAAACCAATTAAGAAGAAAAGAATCTATCTATTTAGAATTAATTTATAGCTATATGTATGTTGTACTTTTAAACTATGCAGGGATTGGATTAAATTATTTAGTTTTCTGCCCAATTTAGTAAACTGTAAAGTGTGAACTCTAACCTGTTTTGGGGGGCTGTGCAGCCCTGCAGACCTATCCAATTTCAGGTCGTCATTTGATGATACTTTGCATTTATTTTATTTTTTTTATTTTGTTGAGGAAAATACAATTTTGTGACTGAGTTTTTTTTATAAAAGAATCTCTAAATCTGTAGAAAGAAGATTTCTTAAAATTGACCAGACCTCTGATTTGTTTTTGCTGTATTGATTTAATTGCTGGCAGTCAACAGTGTTGGATTCTTGTACAGCAAGGAGAGGATTGTCATAAATGGTCTTAGCTCATCAGTGTTCAATTGGTTTATGTGTGTGTGTTAACTTTTTTTTTTTCCAGAGTCTGCTTTATTTCTGCCTTGTAATCAGTGTGCAGCATTAGTTCTGTAAACAGGGCCTGCCACGAGCTATGTCCTTTTGTTCTTATCTTTCCTAAACTCAGAGTTCCTCATCCAGCAGACTGCTAACTGTAATAGGGCTGTTACCTTGCCATAACACTTCTGATGTTTCAACCTGTATTGAAATCCCCAAAAACAGAGTCTTTGATTCTGGTGAAAAGTTTTGGTGGGGAGATCAGAAAGAGGGGGATGGTTAATCTTCGGTTGCTTTACGTGCTATACGTTTTACCCATTTTTTAGTAATGGTTTTGCCCATCATGCATTTTAGAAGAAGAAATGATGCTGCTAAAAGCCTTGGGGTACCTGCTTGAGTAAGCAGGACCCGGATTAGAGCAACAGGATAGCGCTCAAGGTTATTCTAAACCCAGTGCATCTCTTTGACATATGAAGTGAGAGAGGCAAAAGTTGAATGAGCTAAGTTACCATTAATGGCATAAACTGGATTCTTCTCTACCCTGTTGTTAATTTTTGCCTGAAGACGTTTCCTATAAGAACAGTTTTCAGAGTTCCCTTATGGTGGAATTTATCAAAATAGCAATGGCTGCCAAGTAAGGTGGTAAGGGGGTGGGAGAAAAGTGAAAGGCCAGATGGTTTTATTTCTGTTTGCTGTTTGAAATTGACCAGCTCTATTTTTTAACTGGATATTTATGTAGCAAAATGGTTCTGAGCCCTCCTGTTCATTGCAAGCCTTACTATCCACTACTGTGATGTATCTGATCTGATTTCAAGTTTTAAAAGATATCCCCCAGGTCTTTGGAGAGGGATATGGTGGAAATAAAATATTTTGGAATAAATGCTGTTTACAGAGGCACACGAGCTACCCAGCATTAGGAGATGTTGGAGGGGAAATGTGAGAGACCATTCATGTTTGCAAAAGGTGCTGACATCTTTCAAAATGGCACTCCTGCTCCAGTGCCCATCCAACCAAATCTTTTGATTTCTCAAGTAGATATCCATGGATGGTAAGCGCTATGTGCAATAAAGCATAGATCCTAAAGGATACTCACAGAATCTGTATTTCTTGATTTAGAATTAATTATACAATTGTACATCTATAAATAAATGTTTATTATGTGAGAGACTCTGACTTTGTTTGTGCCACTCAGGGTCTGCTGTGTTGTGTGCTGACAAGTAATTAGTGGGGAAACAAGTCAGAGATGAGGACAGTAAGAACAGTTACAATTTCTGACATGTCACCTGTGAGACTGAGGAATGCACCCTAACGATGAATTATGCTGAGTGGATGCAGGACACTTTTTCTGCTGAACACACTGCTGCCTTCCAAGGTTGGCAAAGTCCATTTGTCAGTGACAATGGGGATTAAACATTCTGCAGGCACAAACAGCATGAGCCGGAGAGCTTTCTAGTATTGTTTGTGGAAAGCTACTGTATACTAAAAATTAGAATTTAAATCATCCGATCTATCTAGTTTGTGGGGAATTATCCTGTAAATTTGAATATGCCAGTTTTCCATACAAAGTCCAGTTCTGCCATTAGCAATTTCATCCTCCCTCAATGGTTTTTTGTTTGTGATAAATGTGGTTTTAAAAAAACAAAAAAACACCGTGTAGATTCCCCAAAAGGAGCCAGAAATTTCTGAATATTAAGTCAAGCTGTAATATTTAAATATCAGGATTGAGATTTTTCAAAGCTGACTCTGGGATTTAGACACAACTACCATTAACTTCAATGAGAATTGGCTGTTCAGATTCCATAGGTGGCTTTGAAAATATCAAGCCAGAGCTCCTGTAAGTTGCAGAGGGAAAGGTATGACCTTTGGTAGAGAAGGGACCGTTGTAGTTCTGTGTTATAACTTGTTTCAACACTTCTGAGCCACCCATTACAGTATCTTGCTGCTGAACGACTAGTTAGTTTACAGAAGAAGAAATTCCCTCAGTAAGATACTGCTCTTTTGCCTTGGGCATTTTACTAGTGCTATTATATTCAATAACCATGAGCACTTTAAAGAACAAATATTTAATTACCAGCAGTTCAGCATTCATGAACAACCTGACAATAACAAATTAGTACCACTATATGATAGAGGAAAACTAATTCATTAAGGAAAGAGTCATTAGTTTCACACTTTCAAGGAGCAGTTCTAAACGAGGAATTTTTTTTATAAGAAGACTACCTTGACCTGACCTGTTTCAACAGACTGACACCACTGATTTTGTTGTTTTTTCAAACATTACAGATAGGCCCAAGGAGTCAAAATCAATCCTAGCATAACTCCATTAACTTCACCGGAATTACACCGGGAACAATTTGATCCACGGTTAAGCAATAAGCTGAATGTGGTTATATGGATCTGTAGTAGTGGACACTGCATCATTTGCACAACTATAAGAGAGCTCCCATTCTACAGAAGAGGGGATTTACTTCTTTTCTGTTTGTACAAGAAGAAAAAACTGCCCCGTTCTCTTCAAATGTTGTTCCCTTGTTTAAAGCCTTTAGGATCTACATAGGAAAATTGAAATTGCAGGTTACTGACATACCAACACAAAACATAATCAACTGAGTGAGTTAAAAATAATGAATAGTATCCTGTGAAATGTTTGCATTTGTGGAGACATATTGGTGCTCATGGGCCTGACTTAGCTTCCACTGAAATCAATAGGTGTCTGGCTATTGACTTCAGAGGGAGTTGGATCAGGCCCTAACTCCTTTGTAATAATACCTAGCTCTTATATAGCAAAGCTCTTTACAAAGGAAATAAAAAGGTATCATCAGGCTGCAGCCACTGGAGGGTGACATGACCACATGCACCTGAATAAAACTCAATCCATCTACTAGAGTGATGGATAAACATGCAGATAGTGGTAAGATGTACACACACACACACACACAGCTTGCATTTGGCTTTTGATGTAAAGCAATCCAATCCACTCACATTGGAACAAATTGGGCTAGATGGGGTTGTGATGAGAGAGTTTAACCTTTATTTCCACAGATCAAGTTGTAGCCGTCATTCAAAGACCATTCTTTCACCACTTTTAAAATCTGCAAAGAAAGATTGCTTCGTTACTCTCTTCTTTAGCTCCCAAACTGACTACTTGTATGAGGCATCTCACTAAGCTTTCTGTTCTAGTTAGGTTTTTAGAGTACTCCCATCACCATGGTATCTGAGTTGGCCCTTAGTATGGGATTGTAAACATCACCCCACTACACACACCTTTCTTATATGAAGACTAGAGGAAAAAGTGACCAAAGCACATTAAAGGTCAAAAGGGACATTGAGAGCTTGGGGGATGAAATTGGTAGTCAGAAGAGTGACTAAGCAATGTTAATGCACATTCTCCCTTTCAGTCTTGTCTTTTTCTGTTTAGCAAACTAATTTTTCTTCTACAGTTTAAATGGAGTTGAACTTTACTGTGTCTATTTTGTTAAATTCAAAAGTACCTAATCTCTTTTGTCTGTGTCATATTTTTAATACAGGTCTGGGAATGGTACTTATTACTGAACTCCTGTGGCTGAAGCACAAGCATTGCTCTTTGTAGACACTACAGAAATAATGGGCTCTGTTTAATTTCCAGATGATGAGTTTATACATTTTTAAAATGTCTCTTACCCCCTCACCATGTACTTGAAAAGAAACTTTAAACAAGTGTAAAGACTTTTGTACATGAAGTTGCTAAGGCTGGCAAATATTGAGTGGCTAGTGTCTGAACTGTACCAACTAGAGATAGAAGACCTAGCATGTCATTCCGCTCATTACCCTGCTAATGCACAAAAACAACAAGGAGTCCGGTGGCACCTTAAAGACTAACAGATTTATTTGGGCATAAGCTTTTGTGGGTAAAAAACCTCACATCTGAAGAAGTG